CCAACGTGGGGTTTTTGTATGAAACCCCCGGCCCTACCGTGGGACATTTTCAGCTGTTCCAAAAAAAAAAAAGGCAAATGCTCGGGGGGAGGGGCACGCTTGGAGTGTACTGAGCCATAAATTGCTAAAGATCGGAGCCTGAAATCAGAGGCAAAGCTATAGGAAAAACTATGGGGCATTTGACCTGGAAACGTCGGATTGCGAGATCGCATAAATGTAGAACAAAGTAGCTTAATTTGCCAAAAGATCGGGTAATGCTACTTTTCAGGCATCATTCGGGAACGGTTTTGATTAAGGCAGTATATAGATGAACGATTGTTTGAGTGTTTTCGTGGATTTTCTCCGCGGACTGTCGACTTGGCAAGAAGAGATGTTTAATTTGACAATCGTAATGTCTCCTTTTATTTCTTCAGTATATGTTCTAACAAAAGGTGTTTTTTGACAGTTAATAACATGACACGCTTAATACGAACACTCCGTTATTACGCACACTTTCTATGGCCTCTTCAATGTCCTTATTAACGGGGTTTGACTGTACTTAAAATTAATGTCGTATATTAATCTTTAAACTTTCTTCACCAGTGTTTCAAGTAATGATCAGAGTTGGCCTGGTTTCTTAAGAGATGTACTACATGCCATTACTGAGAAACCATCTGGAGCTCGAGATCCTCAACCAAATGATTCAGTCCAAGAACGTTCGTTAAAATTTCGAGAGTCAGTAAGGGGATCAATTTCCGCACACCATTTTCCTTGTGCTCGGTCTCATTAAACTCCAGGCAGGAACGAGCCCGATGAGAGAGGACCAGCGTGTGTACCTGTCTCGGATCGGTATGATTGGCATTGACAGCATACTTCGCCACTGATTCTATAACGGATTCCATGGACGTAGGATGAAAACGACGAGAAACACGGAAAACGTAGGGATTCGGGCGACCTGTTAACAACAATTATAGCAGACCAAGAGAGCGCTCCCAGTTTTGGTAATCTGCCCTGGGTTAGACACATCCATGCGTTTAGACGCATCCATGCCCATTTAAATTAGAGGGAATAAATTTTAAGTTAATTTAATCATGTTTCTGTACTCAGTGGGTGTAGACTAAGAGTTATATATGGATGAGACAGAATTAAAGTTCTTTCGTTCTTTTACCGAACATCAACTTTAGGCTATGCTCACACTCTACTCGATAGCTTTCGCGCCTGCACGAAAACCATACTGCATAGGGTTTCTGTTCACACATGAGAGTGATGATTTGGCGCGATTCTTGTTAAAGGGCAAAGCTGCGCCGATCTTTAACAGGAGTCACATATCGAATTGGTGTTCTCACTAAACCGAAACAGCATTTTGTATCGGCACAATAAACTATCCGATATAGTGTGAGGAGAGCCCTAGTTTTTCCCAATATTTCAGACGCCTCCTTCTTTCTTCAGGTGATTTAGCGAATAATAGGAGCCACTGACTGTGTATATTGACACAGTAGATGTTAATAAAACCGCTGTACTAATTTCAGGCAGGAGCCGATGGCTCCTGTTTCTGTATTAGAACTGGACCTCTTAAAATGCACATAAAACAGCGTTTTGGTTACAATGTTCAATAAAACAAGAGTGTTCACGCAAAGCACTCCTGCAGTTTTTTCTCAGTGAAAGCTTCTGCCCTTTCCCAACTTAGGAAGGGCAACCACAAATGCGACAGCAGCGAAAACCTCAGTTAAAAAAAGCGCGCCGCGCTGTTTTTTTATTCTATGTCGTTCAGTTTGTCAAATGTTAATGAATCTTTCTGGAGTTGAATTCTTAGTTTCAATTAAACTCCGTTATCCGACGTTTGAATCAAATGCAGTGTTAAATTGTTGTAAATAAATGCAAAGCAGATCATCACAGTTAAAGACGTAATTTAGGAAGTTGCTAAAAGAAAACCTTATAAAATTGAGGCTTGCCGGAATTTTTTCGCGTTTTCTTTTCCCCATTACTTTCAAGCTAGTCCCTCCGAAGAGGCCTCCTTGTGTCGTAGGGAGAAAAGAAGAAAGACGAGGAAGAGCTCAGAGGCCTGCTTCCACCCAACGTCGTCCCCAGGGTCTTTCAGGGTGTTCCAAATTACTGACCTCTTCCCATCGCCCACCACGCGCTTACTAGGTTTTTGTTTTCTTTTTTATCATTGCTGTTTTTTACACCCAGCGGGAGCCTCTGCGAAGGCGGAGAGCGCGCGCATCTCACGTTGGCGTTGACTCCTCTTTAACTCAGGTTATTTTCGACCCTTAACACCCCTTACTCCAGGTTTTGCCCTTAAGCCTGTTTTTTAACATTAGAAGGATGCTGCACAGGGTAGGTAAGCAATCTCGCTCTCAAGGCCACCGCATGAGAAGGTGACTGAAGAGGGATATGTATATAGGGGTGATCAGAATCTCCGTTAAGCGTTCTGAGAGAACGATCTGGCTTGATCTGTCCCCTTTTCCCTTAGACTTGATAGTCGTTCGTTCGAGGAATATGAACTAGAAACTGTAGTAACAGTATCAAGGGAAGCCAAGCAGGGAGAGGGAAGTTCGTATATAAAGGCATCGACGTCCCCTGGGTTGTCCATGGCTGCCACTGAGCGGGTGATATGACTGTGCTCATGCGTAAGGTATTGGCTAGACAGTGTCGTTAAAGCAGCAACAATGCCGTGCCGGCCGTGGGTTGGTTTTCCAGTGTGTCACCAGCCGGCTTGTCTAACGAATGTTCCATTTAGAGACGAAGGCGCGCAAAGCGGAAGTGATCGAGTGGCGAAGGCAGTTTCGCCCGGCTTTTCGCTTTTCCTTCCCGCTCAGTCAAGTGGTTGCTCCCCAGCAAAACCACCAGCTGTCCGCCAGCTATGCAAGCTCAGTAGCCTGAATTACAGACATCCCCTCAACCTCGTTCCCAGGGACGGATAGGAGAGGACCCTGGAAACGAGTTGACATTCCCTTGAGTCGCTTACTTAGTTAGGTTACAGGCTCAGCTGAAAGATACTGGACTGCACAGCCCGTATTTTTTTGACTAACTCAAGAACGCGGCAGTGGTCAAAGCAAGAGTGAAAACACTGGGAAGAGCGCGAATTTTCTCTCGCCTCACACTCCCACGCTTCGCTTGAAAACCCGTACACAGGTGTTTTGAAAAAACCGATTTTGAAGGAAAGAAAGGCTGTTTTAGTGCAGTCTAGAAAGATACCGTCAGATCGATACCGCGTACATTGTTCACAGTCCCTGATCGTCAAGATCGGGCGCTTTGCCTTATGGGTGGCCATAACCCTCCCCCACTGCTTTAAACCCCGACGCCCGCCCCCTCGGTACGTTAGAGTAGAGATCAGGTAAGAAGGAGACAGTCGGCATAGACGACGAACTGCACCGTGAAAAGACTGGGCCGAGAACGTTGTTCAAGGAGGGAAAATTCGACAGTTGAACAAGTTTCCCCTGTAAACAAAGGAAATGCCAATCAACGAAGTGTTCCAAATGTCTTTTCACAGTCTGCCCTAGACGTTGCATAGCGCTTTGCCTGTTTTCCCCTTGAGCTTCTCCTTCTTCCTTTCTTTTTTCTTTACCGCGGAGCTTTTTTTCGTAGGCCAACTTTTCCTGTCAAATTATCTCTTTGAGAGCTTGGACTAGTTCGGTCTGTTCGCAAGTGATTCTAGTGGCATTTTCTTCTTGGTGTATTTTCGCTTTATGCCGCAAGGTCAGTCTGTCTCTCATGGATTTTTTTATTGACTTTGAATTTCGGATAATCAAGGCCACGACAGCTATCTGGTTCCATACATTTCCCTGCCCTTTCCTTGCTTCTATACGGATGTTGATAGCCGAGGTTCCATAACAATAAACACTTTTCGGCAGGCACCAAATCATGTTTGCCTGACCATTCCATCTCCTTTACAAAGAAAAATAGAACCAACGGTTACTAATGTTTGGTAGCCTGTTCCAGGCGTTTAGATAGTGGGAAGCAAGTTAAATCGTACGCGGCCAGCACAAAAAGAAACACGAGGGGAAAAAAACGAGGGGAGACTGGGGCGGTGCCCTAATTTTTTGCCCGCTCCCCACAACTCCCCACTTGCCTGCGTGCAGACGTCTCCTATATAGGAGACGTCTGCTCGAAGGCAAGCTCCCCACCATCCGAACGCCTGGAACAGGCTAAATGTTTGGCGACAAATCACTACAGTTTTTAAGGAAAAAAGGGTGGAACAGGTTGATTTAGCACATTTTTGACCTTTAAACCTTTTCACTTCGCGAAAAGCTGGAAAACACAAACAAGAAAGATTCAATGCGACTCGCTAGTCTAGTGCTTCTATACGAAGGCCTATTTCGATCGATTTTCTGGTGTTTTTAGTACAAAAATACAAAGAACAAATACGTTGAAAGTCGAATACGCAATTGGGATACGAAATTTCTCTCAGGAAAATCGATTTAGGAAGGAGCCGATTACTGATTTAGCGTAAAAAAGACGAGTAAATTTAATTTTCTCTGCACACGTTCACTGCTGGAGGCCAAACCGCGGGTTTTCACGTTCTCGACAGCATGTGGACGACGAGCCGTGCATGTGCAGTAGCGTTCAACAAGGTTTTTAACAAGGTTCAAAGGTTTTAATTTTTACCAAGATGGCCGCCCGTACCGGTATAAACACAGGTTCCCCAGGCTCACTGTTTGTGTCACGTACGGCTTTCACAACATGGTAAATATGGAGAACATACGGGCCGAAGTTTAGGTCTGGAAATTTCATAGAAAATGGAAATAAAAATTGATGAAACTTACCATGTGGCGAGTTGTTGTTGTCCTTAATAGGTACACGAAGTTCCGGGAAAAATAGTCTGCTTCACCTTTCCTTCATAATCGAGTATACTATGAAGGCTCTTAGAGGCTCCCAGTACGGGATGAAAAACGAATGTCACGCCCGTCACGAGATTTCACGAGATAAATCACGGGATCTGCATACATACATACCCGCTACATACATAAAGGCTGATGTGGACTGATGTGATACAACTGTTCGGTTAACCTCTTCGAGAAATGGCGTCGACTGGAGCAGAGAACGTTCTTCATGTGGCCAAAAAATTTTTCCAAGAACAGTTCAAGGCTAGTCCTTCGTTTGCTGTATGTGCTCCAGGACGAGTAAATCTTATTGGCGAACATACAGATTATAACGATGGATTTGTTCTTCCCATGGTAAGAATAGCGTTTCTCGACCTCCCCTTCCCTTGGGTAAATTGTATCCTCCTTTCCTTGGGCCTAAACGGTACACTAAGAGCAAGACATGGGGTATATTTTTACTGTTAAGTGAAGTTGCTTTTTCCTTTAGTCCTGATTTCAAGGGCTTTACAATCCTTGAGTGAATTAAAGCGAACTTTTGTACGCACGGTCGATTCCGGCGATCGATCAAAGATTGGAACGCTTTACCTTTAGATATTAGGAAGGTAGAGACTTTGGACATTTTAAAACGCACTGTTCGGGAACAGATTTTACTTATTTAATTACATGATTCTTTTTATTTGATTATTTTTTATTTACCTCGACGCGATGGGCAACCTTTGCCAAGTATAAAATATAGAAATAGAAATGTGGTTCAATTTTATCCTTGATTAGCCTAGATTCAAAATGTAACCCTTTGAAGTCCCAGGACTCACCAACATCAATTTCCTCCTAATAATATTAATATGTAATTGAGAGAAAAAGGAAAATGTTTTGATCTTTTCACCAAAATCTCTCAACTAATCCCGGGAGCGGTACTTCCTGATACCTGATATAAGCCAAAAAGGTATGTGCCAAAGGGTATGTCTTTGCACTGTTTCGGTCTGAAAACTGGTGTAGACTTGGCACATTTTGTCTGGAATTGGGTATGGTTTTTGAGGGAACTACAGGAGTGTGCTCATGAACTTATTTGTCATTTCAATTCCAAATGAACAAGAAAGGAAGATAATACACGAGTTCAAAATGGATTTTAAGAAGTCTTGTTGTTTACATTCTAATCTAAGTAGTTTCAGGTCTGAAAATGGGTATATATTTTAGAGACCGGGGGCCCGTTTCTCGAAAGTCCCGGTAACTTTTCGGCCCAAAATCAAATATTCAAATCGATATAAAAAGAATAAGAGCGCGGCTCCTGGCAAGCAAACTACTCCATTTTGTTTCTTTAACTGATAGTTTTATCATGTTAGATGCAAAACTATTGAAACCTCGATCTTTAATGGCAACCGAGACAGCTTACCGGGCCCGTTAATTATCGGAACTTTCGAGAAACGGGCCCCAGGCCCCAGTTCCTCAAAAGGTGGATAACACTATCCACCGAATAAATCTCGTTGGATAGTGATTTATCCAGTGGATAGCACTATCTAACGTTTGAACAAATGGGGCCAGGTCTAGGAACGGGTGTGGAAAATTACATTTTTTGGTCTAAAATAGGGTCTTGTCCGTAGAACTGGGCAGCACACCCCCACCAAGATTTTCCCAGAAGTACTCTCCAGGTGTGACAGTTAGTTTGAAACAGAAAGAAATAAAGCAAAAAAATAAAAGATTAGACTGAAAATTGATGAAGCATTTACTCTGACAAAATGTGAATTTTGAAGTGACTGGTTTTCTTTACCTTTGTGGTAAGTAAATCTCATGATGGAGCAGAAACTGGTAACTTATATTATGAGTTTGATTATCAAAGCAAGTCAACAAATTTGAATGCCATCATTAAAATTACTTTCCTGCAGGCTTTAGAGTTGGTGACGGTAATTGTAGGAAGAAAATCAGATGGGGATGTGTGTCATTTGGCCACATGTGCTCAAGGCGCAGATGAACCCCATGTAATAGCATTTCCCATCCATACCCCTGATAGTCCACTGGTGCCTGGCAAGCCTTCTTGGGCCAACTATGTCAAGGGAGTTATTGCCAATTTTCCGGGACCAGTTCCTGCCTTTGATGCAGTGATTGCCACTTCAGTACCCCTCGGAGGGGGATTATCTAGCTCTGCGTCACTTGAAGTTGCCACGTACACGTTTTTGGAACAGTTAACTGGGAAAGAGCAAAAAGATTTGAAAGTCAAGGCTCTGGCTTGTCAAAAGGCTGAGCATAATTTTGCTAACATGCCATGTGGAATTATGGATCAGTTTATTTCAGTAATGGGCAAGAGAGGCAATGCTTTACTGCTGGACTGCAGGTATTTGCCTTATAATATGTAAGGCCCCATCTGCATAAATACATTTTCATTTCAAAACACATACATTATGATGTGTTTGGGCCTTCTGTCCACACTAATTTGTTGAGCATTATGAAAATGCATTGATTTCAAAATGCTCTTTAAAGTGGATCACAATGAAAATGGTCAAAAACAGTCGAAATGCATCAAAATGAAAATGGTGAAGGAAACTATTGCAGGTGCGAGTGTTTGTAGCTCAGCACAGTGTTCAACTTACATCACAGCATTCAATTCTATCGTTTTAGTGTGGACAGCGGAAAATGCATCAAAATGGCAGGGTGGACGTGAATTGATTCATGCTTTTTCAATGAAAATAAAAACTCATACTTTTGAAAACACATTAGTGTGGATGGGGCCTAGATCTGTGGCAGATTTATGGGAGGGGCTTGAAGGGGACCTTAATCTTCACTTTATTTTTAGGTCAAACTGAAGCCCACAGGGATGAGAAAAATTCTTTTCCAAGCCAAGCCCTACTCTTATCTTAGTGTATGGATGAGAAGGCTATATAATGGTTCTTCAAAAAATATGGGTCTTGGAAAATTTTGGCCCAATCTTAAAATCTCGGAAGTGTTTGTGATAGGTCTTGTCTTGGAGTCTCAATGAAACCCGAGTCTCACAGTCTCGCAAAGTCTCGAATTTACCATTCTACACCCCTGATGAGTGGGCTCGCCACTTAATAATTTGAAGACTTGAATCCATCGATATAATTCCTTTTGGATTCAAGCATGTGATTGTTGGAATTGTTTTTCTGCTTTCTGGGTGATCAGTTCATGTCCAGAGCATTGGATGGCTATCCCTCAAACTACAATATTAGTGGTTTTTGTGTGGAGTGTACCTTTGCAATTAAAGTTCATAATATTTTGTTTTCAAATTCTTATTGTTCTTGGTTGATATCAACAATTTTGCAGATCAATGGAAGCCACACTTGTTCCAATGACAAACCCTGATTTAGCTGTGTTGGTAACCAACTCAAATGTTCGACATGAATTGACAGGAAGTGAGTATCCAACAAGAAGGAAGCAATGTGAAACAGCAGCAAAAGCACTAGGAAAACCCAGTCTTAGGGAAGTTACCATGGCAGAATTAGAAGGTAGGATAGTACTTTACTCAATATTTATTACTACAAACATTAGGTGAACCCTAAATTTATTTGTCATCACAGATAGGTCATTTATGCTGGGTAGATAAAGAGGTGGCATTTGTAGTGATAATGATTAACCCTTTGGGTCTTGCAGATGAAGGATAAACAGCTAAGTAGAATATGATCAACTTAACTTTTTATAGTTACATTCTTCCCAAGCACAAAATGGTAACGGCCTGTTTGAGGGAGTTTATGGGAGTTAATATTACGCCAAGGCTATGATTTTCGCAGTTCATAGCTCCTTGTACTAAATTTTAAAGGCTGCAACTTTTTTCGCTCTTTGGATCAAGTTGTCTTACCCCTCTCATCTGTGCTTCAAACACTGAATTTGAAGGAGAAAGTAGTAGTATTAGAGCACTGACCTTCCACAAACCTAGCCTACATCGCAGACATAATTAAACCTTGGTTAGTAACGGCTGCAGAATAGCGCTGAAATCCTTGTTCTGGGTCCCCAATGGACTCAACAAATTACCAGAAATGAGTTTTAAATTTCCTTTCAACCTGATTGGCAAATCAACAGTGGCTTTTTTAACAGGCCAATCACGGCACGTACTCAAATCCTGGTACACAGGTGGGGGTGTAGAACAAGGATTTCGGCACCGTTTCGCAGATAGACTTAACCGGAGTTTAATTTCATCTGTGGCGCACGAGGCTACCAAAATCGTGGCCCTGTTTGAATAGCCTGTGTACATCTGCCTCCTCCCCACAGCAGAGGAGATAGCTGTACTCAGGCTATGGTTTGATACTCAGAGGCAGGCTGTCTTCCTTGTCTTGACAGGTTTTTCATAAGGCACTTTGGTTCACCCCTTTCATCACGACTCAGAATCTCACAATTCCAGTTAGATTGGTCATTTAAGTCAATATTTGAGTCACTCAGTGCATGTGTTTGCCCATCATCAACTTTCTCATAACAGTGTTCACACATAATCCAGGGGTAATGTGATTTAGAATTGATAAAATGGTCATCTAAGGGAAAACAATGTGATTTTTAAACAAATTCTCTTAACTTATTCTTTAAGGAATTGTATGGAGATCAGTTTGGAGAATTTGTATGTGGATTTTGGAGCTTAAAGGGTTGATTATTAAAACAATTTATCATTAATCAGATATTATTGTCTTCTTTGGTTTACACTATTGATATATTTTTTCCACAGCTAACAAGGGGAAGTTGGAAGATGTTGAGTTCTGCCGAGCAAGACATGTGGTTGGAGAGATACAAAGAACCACTGAAGCTGCTGCAGCACTTGAGAAGGAAAATTATGAGAAATTTGGAAAGCTAATGGTGGAAAGTCACAATTCTCTTAGGTAACACAACACTGACAGCAGATAGTGCAGTTCATGTAGTGCTGGGCAGGCTGTTTTTTTAAAACATGCTAGTTTAATGCAATGCTTTCGAGTGGTATACCACGAAGAATCCCACGAGTGAATTGATTTCTAAGTATATACACATCAGAGCCTTTAGGCGATCGTATAAAGCGAGTGTATATACAAAGAAAAATCAAGTCACTTGTGGGATTTTCGTGGTATACCATGAAAGAAGCATTGCATAACTAATTTATCCCATGCCACTTAACATCATGACGTAAAATAGAGAAATCTCGACGTCACAGTCAAACTTGAAGAAAGCCACTTTTAATACTACATACAATGCCCCAATGATCGACACCTTGTCAATGAATAAAGCTCGTATTCACCTCTGTCTATTTTACTGTACCTGCATCCCGAAGATGATGGCAAAACAGCCGTCAAATGCTTCTTCAAGAAGGGATTTCAGTCTTGTTGTTTGAAGTGTGGATTTATGTCGGTCTTCTCAACCCTGGTTAACTTGGTATGTTTTTGTTGCTCTTGATTAATGAATTCCTTAACTTCTTTGTCCATTCTAGTCTGTTTGATTTTGTATGGCAAATACTTTTTTAACTTTGCCTTAGACGTCTGAATGGCAGCTTAACCTCGGGGTTTATTGTGTTGTTTACAACATTGCTCCTGGAAATTTTGGTAGAATAAAACTTTTGTCTGTCACTAGCCACTCTATTTTTGGCGGGAAAATGTGGAGGCCATAATTAAGTATCACCTGGATTTTTTCGTGAAATACTACCCATCGGATACCACAGAATTTGCAACAGATTTCTAGCTAACTGATTGGCTGCATTCACTATGGCATTGGATAAATCTTCTTATCAAACAAATACAGGTATAATAATTATTGTTGTTTTCATAAAAACAACTAACAAATATTGACAGAAATCCCAGACTTCCTTCTTACTGCCCAGCCTCAGAAATTTAAGACAGTACCAGCTATTGAGTTTATGTACTATTCTGGGATCAGCCAGGGCTCTCATCATATGGCACTGGCCCTAAAGGATCACAGCTCTAGGAACAAGAATAATAGCTGCGAAGTTAATCAAACCTGGGAGTGCATTACTGCATAAAACAGTGATCTGGTTTCTTATAAAAAGTGTAATCACATAACCCAAAAGCAGAGTACAATAATAGTGGTTTCGTGTATCTTTTTTTAAGGGATGATTATGAAGTCAGCTGTGAAGAGCTTGATTTACTTGTTAAACTTGCTGTGGAGGTAGATGGGGTTTATGGTTCTCGTATGACAGGTGGAGGCTTTGGTGGGTGTACTGTGACACTTGTCAAACGGTCATCCGTAGACAACCTCATCAAACACATTCAGGTGGGTGTTCTGTTGTCTGACAGTGGGAAGTTTTTAAATATATATTTCTCTTTGAAATTGAGTGAAGTATTGCTGCCATCAGCAATCAGTCAGTTATCATTGAAGCAAGGACGTGCAACCTGTATCACTAAAGCTGGCACGGTAGATACATTTACAGTAATGCAGGATTCTCTGGAAGCTCCGATAACCAGCAAAATTCGCCGATTGTCTTAAAAGTGCCGGATACTCTTCGTATTTCATTTGTTTCTTAGCAATTGAGTTCAATGAAACAGTGAAAACAAACATTATGAAGCAAAATAAAACAAATTTGGTATAAAAAGTGTCGTCCTCATGGCTAAAATTGTTCTCCTTGGCCGCTAAAAATTCACTGAAATAGACCATTTAGGACTCCCAAATAAACATTTCCCCGGGGGAGGTCCCCGGACTCACCCAGTGAAAGGGGAGCAGCGCACTCCTCCATAATTATTTCCTCCACACACCCACACACACAGCTGTGCTTCGTGAGGGAGGCGCCCCATCAGTTGCTGCATACTTGGAAGTTTTTTCCCTTCTACTTTAAATTTTCTAGAGAACTTTGTTGATATAAAATGCTTCCTTAAGCTTCCCTTTCTTCACGGCTTCCCAATAAAACAAAAATAGTACGAATGGAAACTTCTTGCTGTGAAAATCTTGTGAGAATCTCCTCTCCTCTTAATGATGGCCACATCTCTACAGCGGCCATCATGTTTCGTTTTCTATCATCTCAATCGTTTAATTAAAATCACTAAAGGAAACCTTCAGAAAACGCTTATTTCTCATGATCTGCCGCAATGTTCTTGTCGAATTCGCCCCTTTGCATACAGGGGATTCTGTACGTAACGGATACGTTACGTACAGGAGATCGGTAAGGGATTGGTCGAATGGGTGTGGTCAAATGTCTGTTAAGGCTATGTTCATACTCTACTGGTTAGCCGTTCGTGCTGCCACACAAAACTATCCGGTTTAGGGTGAACACCTATTCGATATGTGACTCTCCACCTTAGCGATCAACGCGGGGCAGCTTCGCTCCGTTACAGAAATCGCGCCGAAATCACTGTTCTTATGTGTGAACAAAAGCCCTATCCGGTATGGTTTTCGTGCCGGCGCAAAAGCCCTGGGGGGGGACTCGGCATATGAAAGGGGTGGGGATGCTCGTCGGAAATTTTGAATTAAACCCTTAAGGAGACCAATCTGGGCGTAGCCCGAACTTTTTTTGACCCCTAAAAGAGACCATGTTAAGACACAGACAATCTATATATTTTTATATTTTTTCGCTTGCAACCCTAAACGAGACCTTCACGGCTGGATATGATGGCGTCTTCCCCAGAACACCCTAAGTGAGACCAAAATCCGAAGTTTACACCCCTAAGGGAGACGACGAGCGTCCCCACCCCTTTCATATGCGGAGTCCCTCCCCCCGGCAAAAAAGCTATCCAGTAGAGTGTGAACCATAGTCTTAGATTTCTCTTTCTTCTAAAATTACATGCCAAGATAAGATACGCATGCATTATACATTTAGTACAACAAAACGTTTTTCCACACTGCATCACGTTGATTCCGATTCTGTTGTTTTGTTCATCAGGAGGGCTATGAAAACAAGGCGACATGTGTGGTGACCAGCCCAGCTGATGGTGCCAGAGTTCTAAGTCTGTGATGATACAATTATGATAGACTCATAAATTATTTGTGAACTTTTTTCAAGAATCTTCTAATGCAACGAAGTATAGCGGTGACTGTCGTTTCCCCTGGACTAAAGTCGGTTAGTGACCTTGGTTCTCAGTGGGTTCTACTGTTGTTTTACCCGAAAGTGGATTCTCCCGACGTCGTTTCGCCCGAACTTAAGTCCATTCGCCCAATGACATTTAACACTCAGCGACACGGTGAACATACTTATCAGAGATGTTAGTCAAGCTTGAATTTCATGGCTATGAGTGGTAAAAAAGCCCAGCGATCAAAACGATATTAGCAATCTAGATAATTATATTTGAGGTAGAAGGTATAAAGGTATACCTCAGCGATCGCAATGATCGCGACGTCGATCTTTGAGATATTTTGTTATGTTGGCACTAGGAAAAGCTGTTGACCCACATTCGGACCCGCATTTGCAGTGACTGTCTTTCCACGCTTATTCTCTTTTTTCTTTTTTTTTCTGGCTGAAAGAACGATAAGTTAACATCGGGCGAATCGACTTAAGTGCAGGCGAAACGACCTAATACCGTGGGCTGATCGACATCAGTCCGAATAAATCACTGCCGAAATAGACTTATAGGAATAGCTTAACATATGGAAAAGGTGAATAGTGTTTTTTATTATTATTATTTTGAGGAGGGCTTAAGAGGTTGCATTCAGCACTAATTGAAAGCTAAATGAATAAACTCGTGTTTTAGTAGTCACAATATTTTCTATTGCAATTCTATCCGACTTATTTGTATTGTGAACACCTGTTCACACTGCGGAAAAGAGTGGTACAGAAACCTAGTATCCGATATATGACAACCCACTTTCAAGATCGGCGCGGCGCAGCTTCGCTCCTTTACACTGAGAAACCGCTCCGAAGTCATCGTTCTCGAGTGTAAACAGAAGCCTTATGCTTTCGATAATCTCCTGCACGCTTTCCTTGCTTTTATCCCCAGCCTCCACACAACCTGCGTAGCAAGCGTGTCTGGCTCTAAAGCTGGGGCGAGGGTAAACGCAGTCTATCCTCCGCGTGGCACATGCGCGGAGGAGAGTAACAGGATAAGATTTCCCAAACTGGTTAACTAAACTCTACCTCAGAAGGACAATACCCTTGCTGACTTCACTGTGCTAAATGAACCCAGCCAGAGTTATTACTGAGACACCCTGTCAGGTACTAAAAGGTAAAAATTGCGCAGTTCTCACCTCCGTAGAGACTTGTCTGTGTCTTAGGAAGGTTGGCGGAGGGAACATAGACAGCGCGCGGAGAACATTGGGAAGGGGAAAGAGAGACCTTGCTTTCCATCGTCCACCGCAAGCTTACTATTTAATAAATGCTATTGGAATACCAAGTGGGAGCCTCTGGGCAGGAGAGAGGTGTCGCAATAAAAGGAGGTAGCTATCTGCCTCTCGCCCATGGCGCAAACTTTGCAGAAATGTTTGACGAAATTGACTAAAATACACACAACAAATGTTTGTCTCTACGATTTTATTCGCATCTGATTTAACCCTTTCACTGCCAGAGTGCTTGATGGAGTTTTGAAAGGTGACTGTAACTTTTCGTTTGTGGACGAAATCCTATGATGTGACCATTCAAATGAAAGCTCCCTGCCTGTACTTACACATGGTACTGTTTGTTTTCCAAAATGTTAGAAAATGAAATTTGGAGATCTGGTCGAAATTTGCTATAACTACGTTTGGCAGTGAAAGGGTTAAGGAAATCTCTGATTTTAACAATGTCCTCTGATCTCAAAATAGGATTCTCTCCTGGGCCGAGTTTTCGGAAAATTCGATAACGCTATCCACTAATTAATTCTCTACCTAGTGGATAGCGCAATTGGTTTCACTGATACTTCTCTGCTGAATAGTGATTTATCCGGTTGATAGCGCTATACAACGTTTAAACAACCAGGGCCCGTGACAGCGCTGGTATATAGGGAGTGGGTTACGGTTTGATTCCCGGCCGGACCAGTAGAAGCTGAGGACGAAGATATCGCCTTTGCACTGAAAATGGCTAACCTTCACGTGACTCGTCAAGGTTGTCCTTGCGGCCCCTTCTCTATCAGGGGATGTATAGTGTCTTAACTTTGGAAAATACTGAAACACAAATGCGAGATTTCGTTCCGCCAAAGTTAACTTAGTCAGTTTTTTTGCTAGGTAGCTAAAAGAGTAAAAGGACACGAAACAAACCAACAGGAAGCCCGCCAATCGTAATCAGTTGATAATAATGGTCTGTTTCAAATTGCCTGAAGTGTTACGAAGTTTACCTTTCCTTGAGCAAGAGTTAGCGCAGGCAGATATATTTAATTGCTTTAATAATAAAATTAAAACAAAATAATTCACGTCATGATATTCAAGTAGCACTTCCGTGTCTTCCGATACAGGTACTGAGTGTTTCATTTTATTTTATTATGTCTTTCTGTGTGCGAGCCCAGGCAGATATATTTAATTGTCTAACAAAGTAAAAAAACAGAGTAGTTTAAGTCACTATACTTAAAAGTGATGACTTCCCGCTTTGTATTTTTGAAGCTTCTTCGATTACAAATTGAAGCCTAGGTCTTCTTCATGAAGGAGAGATAGCACCAGTATCTTATTCTGGGTTAAACAAAAAGGTTGCAACACAACTCATGCATGGATACAGGTTCGATATGGCTTAGCGGCCACGCGTTTTGTTCTCTATGATTCTGAAATCATTTGGTTCACTTTAAAACCAACTGTTTGACAAAACTCGAGTTGAAAGGTTATGTGTCCATACATTCAGAAACGGAAAATGTCAGGAAGTTAACCTTAAAACCGACGGCGTCAGTTGTATGGAGTCTTCAATGCATGTTCGTGACCACGTCCAATAAAGAATTCTGTTTATTTTTTGGTTCTTTTTTAAAATATGAACTCAATTAATAAGCGTCTTTCGTTTACAGGTGTTTCAAGTACCCTTAAGTGTTTTATTTGTCTTCCCGGTGCAAGCCCTGACAGATACATTTAATTACAGTTGTCGTTGTTTAGTTGAAACAAAGGTACCTATTTCTTCATGCACAAGTTATAACACTTACAGTCTTAAAACTTCCTCTTATTTATTATGTTACGTCAATTATGTTTCTTGTTTGCAAAGAAAACGTTTAAAACAAACGGGCCAACTCGCACGAACATTTATACTGAGAGCCGAAATAAAACATTAATATGTAAGAACACATTTTGAGTTAAATATTGTGTTGAGTTCTTGGAAAAGCTTCAACATCCGTCATGGGCATCGGTGTTGGGCGGCAGAAATCGAGCGCGCGAAGCTTCTCAAAAAACAATGCCGTGTTGTAAGCTGCGGGGCCCATATTAGCCGGAAACGAGCCAGTTCAGTGATGCCCAACCTTTTCACCCATTGCATATCTTCCTCTTGGTTACTCTGTTGACTGTAACTTTCTTATTTTAGTTTTCATTTTTTTTCGCAAACAGACACTATGTCTGTGCTCGCATGAGCTATTTGTTTGTTGTAAGTGGCCGTGCACGCACTAAAAGTTTTAGTAAACGAAAAACTGCGTAGTGCTCCTATCGTTAGTCAATTTCACGATATAAATTGTACACAAATCGTTTCGTTTTTATCTTCAGCAGAAATTAATGGTGGTTTACGATTGTACAACACTGGTTCTTCCATTACCCAAGCTACATTTATTTCTTTGTACAATCGTTGAAAAAGTCGTAAAAACTAGAAATAAAGGCCCAGTCCAATCGGTTGTTATTTGAAAACGGAATAACAAACACGAAATAACAAACCAACAGGAAGCCCGCCAATCGTAATTAGTTGATAATGATCGTCTGTTTCAAAGTGCCTGGAGTGTTACGAAGTTTACCTTTCCTTGAGCAAGAGTTAGCGCAGGCAGATATATTTAATTGCTTTGATAATAAAATTAAAACAAAATAATTCACGTCATGATATTCAGGTAGCACTTCCGTGTCTTCCGTTACAGGTATTGAGTGTTTCATTTTATTTTATTATGTCTTCCTGTGTGCGAGCCCCGGCAGATATATTTAATTGTCTAACAAAGTCAAAACAGAGTAGTTAACGTCGCTATACTTAAAAGTGATAACTTTCCCCCAAGAGACTATAAAGGGGACAGAGAGGGCATCCCCCTTATACACCCTATTCCATAAGTAATTCGTCTCGAGTTATTTTTAACACCACAGATCTCAAGGGGGATTAGACAACAGCCAATCACATAGCGCGAATGTGTTCCGCGTGGATGACCCACGCTGAGAGCCACGCGTCCTTCACGAAATGACGCAGAACAAAATGGGGGAAGACGCGGAGAGCGATTTTGCTATTCCTTTTGTCGACGAAAACGACTACAGCGAGATTTCTGCGAAAGCTGTGTCAGCGAAACCGAAATTAAAAAAGAATCGCCCTTCCTCTCTTGTATAGAGCTAACAGTAGAGCAGGGAAATCCTTAACACACTAAATACTCTCTCAGGATCATTTATAATTTACAGTTTGAAGAGAGCAATTTCTGGTTTGATGTTTATTTTTTTCTGTCTTTATAGCGATTATTCCTACCCACTTACTTTGTCAATTGTAGGCGAACCCTCCTAAAGCTGAATTTCAAGGGACCATATTCAAGCTAGAAAGAGAAATAAAATTTCGTGGTTGCTTATTTACGTCCTCCATAAAACGCGAAATTAGGCATTTTCACGTCGTAGTAGTGCAAAAACGGGAAAGAAATGAGCAAAAAAGTGTGTTGCACGTGCGAAGTTGTTGTTTTGCTAATTAAACCTATTGTTTTTTTGACGTTCTAGTTGTCGTTCGTGTCGTTGGATCTTAAACTCCCTAAATTGTACAAACGACCGGTTTCAATAGACCGGCGAAATTTCTCATTTTATTAAAGCACTGAAGTTACGACAACTTCGAGTTAAACTGATTTCACGGGTTGTCAAAGAGTCCAGCAATTCCTTTTTCCCAGGTGAGCGCCGACTCATTTCGCTTCAATATTCAGGAATGCTCTCGATCTTTTTACGCTTTCATTGCCTCTCGCCCGACATGTTTTGCACGGGGTTTGGTCATGCGAAACCTCCACGAAATATGCACGCCTCGCACGAGGTAACTTTATCCCGATTCTAAAAATAACTCGAGACGAATTACCTATGGAATAGGGTGTATATGGGGGATGCCCTCTCTGTCCCCTTTATAGTCTCTTGCTTTCCGCTTTGCATTTTTGAAGCTTCTTCGATTACAAATTGAAGCCTAGGTCTTCTTCATGAAGGAGAGATAGCACGAGTATCTTATACATCAGTCAATTCCACCTGCGCCCAGCCCCCCCCGGGCAACTGCGAGGCATTTGCCCGCCTCGTCAGTCCCAGGAGTGGGGCATTTGCAAATTTTTCACTGCCCGGGGACCGGGCATTTGCCAACCCTGGGTCATTCCCGAGCTTTTGACACGCACTCGGCTTCCCATCGGAATATAACTACAAAGACGGTTTTACTGGAAAAAAAGCAGATTGGCTCGTCTGTAAAGGACAGGATTA